AGCGATTAACTGATTACGTATCTATATTGATACATTCGCGATTATAGACAAAATAAATGGCGCATTGCAATGCGATTAAAAAAAGAGAAGAAATTAAATTTAGTAACTAAAAATAATTAAAATAATAATTTAATATATATAAGCGCACGTTTTTCTTTTTGAATTAATATAGTTCCCTTAAAAATAATTATCTCTACATGTAATGTCTACATGGTGTATTATTAAAAGTCATAATATTTAATTAATTGTAAGTAAATCAACTATTAACTAAAAGACAAATGTATATTGTATACTGATGAGATGTTAATAAATAAATAATTATGTATATTGCCTGATATAATAGAATAACACACACATCCAACAAATGTATATAGCAATTATACATATCGTATACATATATATACATACATATGTATATATATGTTTCAATTGAAATTAAACGGAACGAAATTTTAAGTAAAAATTGTTACACTTTAATTTCTAACTAAACTATTTCTTGACAAAACTGATAGAATATTTTGTTTAATTCCCTCCTACTTATTTTAAAATTCAACTTTGTCACACTTGATCGATTTATTGGAAGAATTATAAAACTTTATAATCGACCCGATCGACTTCTGCATCGACATATTGTGCGCAAATGTGAATGCATTGTATAATAATTGCAATTATTCATTAAATGCAATTATTTTCTTAGTAGCAATTATATTTTGTATAATCGGTTTTCTATATAATCCATATATAATTTTCAAATTTTATCTAAAATTTGTAGTAACATATTTATCAAAATTTAAAAAAATTACACTTTACGATAAAGAGAAACACATACAAAGCAATATTCAAGAAGATATAGAAATACCAAGTATGAGACGAATAGACAAACGAAGAAGCACATTATTCATAAAATAAATATTTCGATAGAAAAAGACTCACTGCATCTTAATAGTAACAGGCCGATAAGCTTCAATATCTTCTCTTCTTCCGTTTATGCTCGTCTTCGTTCTGTCGTACGGAGTAGAAAAGGCAAAAAAAAAAAACGGTGCCGGAGAAAAAAGAAAGAAGCCAGAGAGCGTCCCGTATCTGTCACCGGGTAGACAAGAACTGAGCGGAATGTAATCTAACAGAGTGCACGAAACGTCGAGCCGAACGGAGTTGGAGGACCTCGAAGGTGGTCAGGATTTCCCCTTCTGCAATCCCTTCCCCACTCAAAGAGACCCTCCTGCGGTGACGGACAATTATCCCCACTTGTTATTTTCTACGTGTTTACCCCTCCTACCGAGAGATATCACCGGCGCGATCACATTTCGCAGTGTACCCCAACTTTGCCTTCTCTGACTGATTGTGAGTCTGTCACGAGAGATCCCCACCATCGTTATCGACCACTCAAGACGCCCCACGTTCTCTACCGATTACGCCTCGTGGCGAATACTTGCTTTTCGTCCTGTCTCGAGAGAGTGCCGTCGCGACGCCACGAGTATAGATGAAGTGACGCACGTGACATTTTTATCTAACAATTCCCCCCCCCTTCCCCTCTTCTCTCCCTCTGTCTCAATTAACAAATTTGTAAATTCAGATAGATTTGGGTTTTGAAATATTAAGATCCAAACTATCTGTACAATTTTGATTTAAATAATGAAACATTAATTATATTGGAAAGTTTACAGTTATGTTGATATTTAGAGTCTTCGATATTGCGAAGATAATTATCTCGAATGACAAATTAGTACTTCAGGATGCTCCATGTAAAACGAAATCTACCACGTGTCACTTCCGCCGGCATGTTCACATCGAAAGACTATCACTCGTGGTAAAGAAAAACAAATGCTGAAATCGTCTTTAGGTGTAGAGACAGCTGCGTATTGCACGCGTCCTGCACGCGCCTCGTAATACTTTGGGATCGATACAATATGTATACATATATATTGCACATATAATTATTTTAAATAAGAAACTATAGCAATTATTGTTATAGAGATTGCGTAAAATATTTAACACTCATTGAAATTTCTAGTTTTATTACAACTGTTAAGTATATTATATACTAAAAAATAAAAAACTTTATATAATATCACAATTAAAAAAATTTAGAAGAAAGTATGAATGAGATATTAGTATAACAATAAGTACATTGAGAATTCATAACAGAAAATAGAAAGGTTAAACGATACGAGTTTGTTCTGGTACGAAGGGTTTCATTCTATATGATTCGTAGAAGGCGGTGTGGATATATTTATGAACTGTAAACTTTCTCAAATGATTCACAAACTTTGCACTACCACTATGATCACGATTTATTAATCCTTGGGTTTCTTTCTTCGTATTGTAACTGTATTCATTATAGCTGTTTAAAATTATAAATTTTGAAAATCAATTCTTTTATTTGCTTAGTCTATAATTCAATAAACTCGAAATACATAAATTATAAAACTTTTTCATGTTTATAGATTTTTTAAAAATTATTCTAATCATACGTATAAAAACTCCGAAAAAGAGAGAAATCGAAAAGGGAAATTTTTATAATTTTTTCATTACATCTCCATATTTCATTTGATTATGTTATCTATCATATATTATTGATTTAATCCATTATATTAATAAATTCGTATCATAATATAATTAATACTGTTTTATTTGAGATTACAGGATTGCTAGTGTTATAAAATACTTTAGACACTGACAGACAATTATGACAATCAGATTAATGTTATCTGATATAAGTAAAATCAGTTCTCTTGATGACCTATTAATGACAAATAATTTTTACTTGCAGACTGAAACAGATTTACGTAACTGTTCAGACGATTGCATAACAGAACAATTTCTTTGCATTGGCGCAATCTGTCAAATCAGTCGAAAATGTAGCAAACAACAAAAAGAAATGACGAAAAACGGATCGCGATCTGCACTCGAACTTTTGTTATCAAATTTGAAAGGTCGCGACCCGTGCACGTGTACAGTGCGTGAATTAAAAAATACGAAATACTTGGTCTTTTTTTTCCCTTTCCCCCTCTCTCTTTCTCTCTCTCTCTCTCTCTCTCTCTCTCTCTCTCTCTCTTCTCAATCTACATTTTTTCTTGATTAAATTCTCGACACAAAACGATAAAAAAGTGAACGTGATTATCCGATTGCTCTCTTTTCATGGAATTGTGAGTTAACAGTCAATGGGAATCTATCAGTCAATCGCATTCATCAGTCAATAAAATCTTATCGAATGCAGATCCAATGCATCAGATAAGACCAGCTATATCGATGGATAAAATCATAGCTAAAATGAGATTGCAGTATTGTAGCCAACATATCGAGAAAAGTTATTAATCGCATTTCTCGCCGTTAAACATTGGCATCTATTTCAGAAATATTTTTTCTTTTTTCTGAATTTTTATTGAACCGCGAATTCGTTATTTGTACCAAAGGTACGATTCTTTCTTTATGCATTGCCATTTATTGTCACGTAATAAAGATAAATCCAACGGTTATTGTGCGCGCGAATGCGTGCCGATCAAATGAATCAACATAGAACCATGGATATGACGCATATGATGCCTTTGACGCGAGTCTTGCGATGCGAGCAATCTGTCTCGTTTCCTTCCCAGAATCGGAGGGTGGCAAACAATGCGATCCAATGCGTGGATCATTTCGATCGGTGAATGAACCCTTATCGTCAGCAAGCATCGCACATGAAGAGAAAAGCGCTAAGAGCAAAAGTCGCGCGAAATCCGTAAAATTATCCCTCATTCGTTATTTAATTCAATTATTATTAATCTCGACACTTCTTACTATTTAAGATATACCGCGACATCTTATATAATTTATGACCCGTGTATTAATTATTGTTATATAAAAAATGTTTCTTTAAAAAAAAAAGTTAAAATATGGACTAACTGCTAAAACTGACAATGAAATAACTGAAATTGACTGATTCAAAGACTGAAGAAACTGTATCAAGAGAATTGTGAAGGAAAGAGACGACCACCTTAGGATCTCGAGTACCTAAATTCATGGGCTCGTGCCGGAGATAAATCAACAAACACAGCAATGAGGGTGGGGACAATCTTCGCTTTCATATATATGGTTGTTAGCATAGGGTCGGGCAGTCTTCCGACGGTTACGCTTTGTTTCGGTCTGTATATTAAGTATCGCCTACGCATACAGACCTGCGTGAAGGAATAGCTCTTAAAGCTTGCGAGTAAATATTTTTGCGCGCAGGAAAGGACCGTACGTTTGCATGGATGCAACAGTCCGGGCATACGTCTTAGATAGCGTTTGATCGTACCGCACTTCCGATAAAAATTATTTTTTAAAATAAACATTTTTATATCGTTGACATACACATCGAGTCTTATAAGCTAGCAGGTATCTATTTAATTTAGTACTTAATTCAGTGCTTAACCTGTCTATTCCCTAATTAGAACAAATCACGATTTTAAAGCCTCGGCGATATAAAAGCGCCACGATCATTTACGTTTGACCTAATTAATGTGAAACAAATATTAGAATTTTAATTCTATTCTTGTTTTGCACACAAGAATGACGCATGTATCGTATTATATTTCAAAGACGATAACTGAATAAATTCCCAGTAAATGATGATCTTCAAGCGAAACGATTTTCTATGCGACCGCAGAAAAACACGTTGCAACGGTGTCAACGAACGATGCTACATATAATAATGTAATTTAATGTTATATTGCTATTGATTTTTTTGTAAACGATTTTCTAACAATAAAACGTCAATAGCACATCTGTATGCCGCTTTAAAAGACATGTCGAAAATATTTCGTGTTCAACACTAGTTTATTCACTGGTTTATTCTTAGCACTAAAACAATTTCACTTTTACGATACTTTTAAGATTTTTTAAATCGAGGATGAAGAAACAAGAAAAATGTAGTTTCGCCAATAATAGAAATTATGACAGCTTTAAAGTCAACTCCGTTCACATTTCGCACATTCATCCGCGTCATTGCACGCAACGAGATAACGATAACAAGGATTACTAACCTGGAGAGCGGGCCGCTGGGCGAATGCGGCGCGGAGGGGCCTTGATCGTGTTGATCCTGATGATGATGGGGAGTACCGGAGGCGTGATGTGTGTAGATCGAGTCAATATATAGCTGATCGGACACGCGCTCGGCTTCCTGCAATCCGTGATTGTTCTGCACCGACGGTGGTTGCATAGCCGTAAGATGCGTAAAAGATTGCAATCTGCCCTGATCAGTGGGACTGTAACCGGTCTCCTGGGCTTGGCGATGCGGCGATGACAGACCCTGATCGTCGTGTGGACTATGGCTGGAAGTCGGAGAGCCACCGACGGTCCTCACCGATGGAGAACCGCCACCGGTCGGGGCAGCTCCACCGGCGCGGATCTGATGTTGCAGATAAGGCTCCTCGGACAATACATCTTCCAAGTGATGTGATGTATGATGATGATGATGATTGCTGCCACTGTTGCTAGACGTAGTGCTCGACGAAGTGAGATTCGGGAAGAGTACACCTAAATAATCACCCCGTGCACCTCTCATGGCTGCGGTGATGCTGCTCACCCCTCGATCCACGTCCTCGTCAGTTTCTTGATGATGTTGCTGCGGATCCTCGAGATGACGGTGGGCAACGGATGATAGAGCGGTATGCTGATGTACCTCGGATAAATGGTGATGATGCTGCTGTTGCTGATGATGATGCTGATCCGTCGTGGTTGGTGAGAGTGTCTCGGTGCCGTAACGATGCATCGTGGAGTGAGGCATGTGACTGTCGGTGCGGCGTCCCTCCGGCGCGATGGAGGCCTCCGTCGGATGCCGGTTATCCCCTCCCTCGGGAATCGGGACCTCTCTCGCCCCAAGTTGAACATACTGTTGTGCCTGTTGGTGTTGCGGCGGCTGCTGTTGATGATAGTGGTGGTGTGCGTCATGCTGTTGTTGGTGGTGCGATTGGTGGGGAGACTGTGAAATTTGTTGTTGTTGCTGCTGCTGCTGCTGCTGCTGCGATTGCTGCTGCTGCTGCTGCTGCTGTTGCTGCTGCTCCTGCTGCTCCTCCTCCCTCATATCACCGCTCCCGAAACTTTAGGGATTAAAGGTAAATAGAAAAAACTTTTTATCAACTAACATATAAATGTGGATTCAGCGATCAATAATTTTGATTAATGGTAATATTAATAATTTTTATCTATCAATTTAAATGTGGCAATATTTTTTGTAGGAGCTTAATTGATATATTTGTTAATAATAATTTCATACTTAATAATCCTAAAAAATCCTTTCTGAACATTTTTAATATCGTTTCAATATTATTAAAATCGTAATAATAATAAAAATTATTCGAGGATAGATTTAGAAAAATATAATGGAAAAAAATCAAACTTTACGCAAACTGTAATGAGCCAGTTCTATTTGTTATTTGTTCCGAAATATACTTAAAGGGTGCATAATTCATCATGTAAATTAAAGTACATCGTTCTACTAGCGTTTTATAGATATTTATCTCGATGTTTGATCAAGATATTTGTTCCAACTCACCTCTCATGGATTATGTGTGTGGGATGATAGTCAAGCTCATGAAGGGTATAAGTGGTGTTGGGATCCTCGTTGGCATGATCGTCGGTAGCAGCGGCGACGGCGGCGACCGCAATAGCGACTGCTTCGGCACCGGTTGGCTCAACCATGGCGCCATTTTCCATTTCCGGTTGTCCCGCCTCCAGCACGCCCACACCGCTGTCCTCCTCTTCAGTCTCCCCGGTCGCAAACGCCAGCTGTTGCTGCTGTTGCTGCTCCTGGCCGACTTCGTGCTCGATGACGTCCTCGCTCTTTATCGCCGTCGTCGCCACTGCTTTGACCCCTTCCTCCTGCTTGACGATTGCCTCTCTGGTGGACTGCGACGCTGATTCCGTGGCCCCGACATATCCGATCAAGACTATATAGCCGTCAAACAAATCATTGGATATCTCATCCGATAGAGATAAATACGAATATGCATATTTATATCTGATTGTGAATACAAAAATCCTAGCTAAGCACGTCCAAATCCTGTACTTTTGAAAAACACATAACTGAGGATAAATAATAACATCGAAATTATCAATATAAATTTAATACTATTTTTCACCTAAAGTTCATATCATAACTAAATATCTAAAAATTAAATATCTTATTTATTATAATTTGCGGGCCTTTCAGAAATATGGAATTTCAGTTAGCATATAAAGATTTTTCAATTTTTCAGATTATATAAATTTATAACATAAAGTTCCATAAAAATAAATTATGTATAAGGTAAACGATCAAGAAGACAAGACATAAGTATTAACATTTCATATTTAATTACCACAAATTCTTGCAGGACATTTTTCTATTAAGGATATTCAAAATATCGTCATATCATGCAATCATATCATTGCCACTTTGTGTCTTAAACATAAATTGACCATTTTGTAAATAGCGAAATCAAGTATTGATGATAACAAGTTGCATAATTATGTCACACAGTTCCGAATCGTAGACTAATTGCGCCTATATGTTGAGCATATAGTCTACAAACGTACACTTCTTCATGTGTAAAAAGCAAACGACAAACGGTATGTTTAAAAAAATGTATTAGCATTTCGGAATTCACTCCAAAAGAAATATACTCATCAACAAAAAAATACGGGCCAACGATAATGTAATAATAGCGACAATGTTATAATTATGTTATAAAGGCCTATTTTTTGCGGGTGAGTATATTTTTCTATTCTTTTATTTTTTAGCGCATATATAGTTATGATTTTATATATGTAATTTATTATCATGATTTCTTTTCTAAAAGAAAATTATAAATAATATTAAACATTGAAAAAAGGAGAAAAACAATAATCTCTGTTGATATTCATCCCCGTTCTTAAAAATTTATTTCTATCTATTAAATTAATCGAAACTCTCTTGAATTGAAATTAAATCACTGGATATATGATAGCCGTGTGTGTAAATTCGTAAAATATTAATTATAAACTATAACATATTATAAAACAAAAAATCTGTAGTTTAAATGACCAGCTGAAATTAATTGTTTCGGTTATATGTCTGTTCTACTTTATAAGTAAAGTAACCACGATCGCGCAATAAAAACCACAAAAATGTTGAAATCGATTGAGATTCGACAGAGGCGTAGGGCACACCGCGCGTGATGACACCGAGAAACTGTTGCTAGCCGGTGCGTTACAAAAATAACCACGTGCTCTTATCTATACGCGTCGTTAGTGGTGGCACACGCACTCACGCACGAATGGACATTGCGTGAATGTAATAAGAAGCGAGAACGAGAGAGTGATAGAAGGAGAAAGAGAAATGAGGCTAATAAGAGTAAAGAAATAAGGAGAATGATTTCATGAGCTGTTCTCTCTCTTGGAACGATAAAAATATTATTTTTAATCATCGAGGGGTTCACGCGTATCATGTTAGGACCAACGAGCACATATGTAGCAATTTTTAGCTTTTAATTTTATCTACTTACTCAAATCTTATAATGTGTAAATTCTTTTTTTTTTAAGTTCTTTGTATATATTTCAAATAATTGAAACATGAAAATGTGGCATACTGCACGTACGCTCTTGTGTTTAACAGACCATTGTCTGACCTCGAATGATATAATATGGGTCGATCGTGACGATTTGATGCGTAACTCGATTGTCCATGCGGCCGCTGAGTAATCGATCGAATGAACGTGCGGCGCACGAGGGAAAACCTCAGGAATGTCACGTGCGCCCTGTAAAACCGATCTGATCCTAGCTCGTGACGCTTTGTTCATCCGACATATGTAGTTCAAACATTATCGCACATCTAGCTATGACTAATATTTATTTTTATAGAAAGAAAGAAAGAAAGATTTCAAATTATCTAAATTATCATATGAATCAAAAAGTATTCAACGTAACATGAAATTCTTTATTTTATATGAAGCTTATTTATTTTTTCCTTCGAAAAATAATTAAAATTAAGAATAATTATTAAATCGCGATATTGAATCGCATCTACAGTTATCATAATTCTATTTATCTAACATCTTTATTCATTCTTTTTGGCATAATTTTTACATTATAAAAAATATTAATAATTTTTGCACATACATTATTTTAAATATTAATGTATATTGTAAAGAATCGTACATTATCTTTATATGAATCCAAATGATAAAATATCTATCGCTTGATGAATACGCGATTCGATTTAACAACTTCATTCAAGCTACCGTAATATCATCCCTCAAGGCAGTATATCGACCGTTTAACATTGAATCGACCTTATTGACATTACCTAATCGAATTGGAAAGGTCAGGCTCATTGGATTATCTGTCGCTGCTGCTCGACGAATCCTATTAAAAAACATATTTTTGCACAAAAGGTCCAAGTACAGTTCGCTTTGACCAACCTCTGAAATAATGTAAATAAAATGTACGTTTGTACAAGGTAGTCTGGCGCGTTCCCGATAATACTGTCTGTCGGAGATTGCTCTTTGAACGTCAAAAAATAATATGTGCTTATGAGAATTGTAATTTAATTAACTTCAAATTTTTTAAATTCAGTTTAAAAAAAACGCATATTTCTTTATTTACTACGTATAATCATTTTAAAGAGATCTCAAATGTTTTGTTCAAGAAAGTAACCAAATTATAACTTTAAGAAGTAATTCAAAATTTTATTTTATATTCAAGTAATCTTATTTCATATACATTAATTAATAATAATTTAATTAATTAGTAATAAATATTTTCATACTTCAATCAACTGACATTGATTTTACTTGACATAAATGCAAAATCAGCAAAATAAAATGCTGTAATGACAAGACGGTAAAATAACTATATAAAATTATAAAAACTTTGAATAAAAGACTTTAAAAATCAATGGGATCAAAGGAATTAGCCGCCCTCGTCGTATTATCTACAAGATGCAGAGTTGCGACCCCAATTAATCATTTAATGAAGAAAATATACGCAATGGACATATACGACTGCAGTGAGGACCTTCTTCAATACTGCAATAATAAAACAGACAAATAATCGACATGGGTAACAAAGAACTTTACGGTGATTAATATTATATTAAATATTGTTTCCTTATTCACATCACGTTAATATTATTTACATAAAATTTTTATAAATATGACACATTTCACCCTTTTTCTCTTATGTGCGTTTTTCTATAAGCTTTTCAATTTCTAGACATCAATCTAAAAATTAAAAATATAGAAAATATTCCGTGGGTTATTTTTTATATTAATATTTCACAAAATTCGTTTTTAATATTAATTATTGCTCTGTCTCACTTGCCATTGTGTTTAAGAAATCGGTATTTTTCGGTCGATTGCAATATACAAAGTACGCATAAAGGTTTTTAAAATTATCAATAGTACGAGAATATAGATACGCGTTTATTATCCCTCGCGATATACGCGAGAATTAATGGTACCCCGCTTTCCTGATCGGTAGCCGAGAGCGAGTTTCAGAGCCACTGGACGAGCGGAAGAGGTTTTGTACATCGAGGCCAGAGGTTGCTCTTATCTTCCAGACCCCACAAAAACAGTCTCTGTTATCCGCAATACGGACGAACATGGTATATATATATCGATGTGGTTTATGACGAGATTTTCAGAGATTGAATAGCCTCTTTATCTCTATCTCTCAAGCTTTCATTTTTTCTCTTTTTACTCTCCTTCTCCTTCTGTCTCTATTTGACGAAACTTGTAACAATACGATAAATTTAAATAGAAAATTTTTTTTAGATAAGATAAAAATATTATGGACATATGTAGTCCGGGTACTCACATTGGTATCTTGTTATTAGAATAAAAGAAAAAAAAGGAGAGAAAGACCAAGATGAAGACTCGAGAGAAATAGAAATGAAGAGACTGTTTTTATATTTCATAATTTTGTTAATTTTCTTTTTATCCATATTCGAATTTCACAAAACAAAATAAAAACATTTATAAAAGACATTAAAAGAACAGGGAGTGTATTGTGAGATGAGATGAGGTGAAGTGGCTGTTGAGGATAAGTACGACGTTGGGCTAGGTATGGATGCGTTCTACCTATTTCCGATAAGAAGAAAAAGAAGACCAGGTGTCACGTACATCGTCCCTAAAGATGACATATTCTCGGTATAACGTTCTCGTAAAGCTTTAATTTATAATCTGCGATCAACATATATATATGTTAATAATGTATATAATCGCAGATTATAAATCGCAAATTATATATATATATATATATATGCGTGCGTGGGTGTGTGTGTGTGTGTGTGTGTGTGTGTGTGTGCGTGCGCGCGCGCGCGCGCGCAACAATGCAGGCGAAATATGATTCATGGCGATTGAATCGTCTACGTTTATTTCAAAATGGCACGTATAAAAAATGATAAAGACAAGCGTATGTATCATCGCACGACGATCAAATATTAAATGATTAATACGTATTAAATGATGAATAATTTTTCATGAAATTAAAAATATCCAAAATATGTTAAAATCACGGTAAACATAACCTGTATAATATATTACTTTTGATATCGACACATTATTACCTTAATTTTATTTAAAAAAATAATGTTTCATCTCTTTTAATGATTCTATTCACAATGAATCAAAGAAAACGAATCGTCATGTTCAAAACTGCTTACGCTGCTATATTCGCCATTGGAGTAAATGTCGTCAGAGTGTCTACCGCTGGAAGCTGCACCGACGACTGCAGATTAGGCTATGCAACTCTTAAAAGGCGATAGAAAGCCCGCAATCGCGATGTGTACTCCGCTCGCCGTACTACGCATGCTTATGATAACTGCTGGCAGTAGAAATAGAAGATAATGTAATCGCTGTATAATCATACGTAACTCATTCATCCCGTGATTCAAGATAGAGCTAATCTGCTTAATGTTACATTTACTCGT